AAGTTAACCTTCAGGTACAGAAATGTGACAGAAGATGCAGCCACAAAATGTAACGTACCAAAGAAGAGTGTCCTCATCACATTAACTCTGAAAGTTTGTCGGAATGAGCAATTGATGCAACATCCCCAAAACAATATATTTCAATGACATGCTGCCTCACTTAGCCACCCAGTTTCGAAGGATTCAACTCGTACAAGTCGGACTTTTGAGTTTCCTGCTCATGTTTTTACTTTTCTTAGTACTCTTGCGCTACACGTCTCAGAATATGTTTCAATAAATTTAGCACAGAATGGCTTAGAGATTCCCACCAGGTCTAGTTCCTCCAATTCGCTAAACTGTATGGTATTCATCAATCCAAACCAAGCATTCCGAGTGTTTAGTCAATAGAAAACTGCATGATTTTCACGGTTTCCTGGGGCCCTGGTAACGCGAATTCACAAACTAGACTTTTCTAACCAATTAAACGTTTGCCTAGTCTGACTATATCAGCATAAGGCTGCTACCATGTATCCAACCAATGAGTACGTACTCTCACCCATTCCCTCTGAAGAGATAAATATCGAAAAGCATATGACATACGGATGATTCACTAGTAATCCAGGACATTGAAGTGAGAGGGATTAGTTATTTAATGTCCCAATTGGTATAAATGTGATTGATATTCAATAGTGAGGCTTTCCTGTATCCAGCATTTTGTGTTTTAGATGACCATTTTTTGGTACCTGACTTGAGGAATGCTTCAGTTTTATTGTTTTACCCACTGCAAGTTGAACAATTTTGTACGCTAAAGCTTCTTTAGTTATTGATAGCTTACCGCGTGACCGGTACTTCACTACAAACACCATACGACACTCTCCCTTCTCTCATACTCAGTGCAAAAGTAATTACGAATCAAACATAAAATTCGGTGCCTCATAATCGTATTTTACTCCTAGTGTATCAGGCATCACGCCTCATATGTTTCACCAGTTTCTTGTGATCGAAGATAAAAAGGTGATTACTCAATCTAACACAGAGGATATCCAAACTCAATCGAAACAGTGGTAGTGCAAGCAATGGGACGGAATTTGATGTGTGTTCTGTGGTAGACCTTTGATCAAGAATGTGCCTAACAATCTCGATATATTATTTTTCTCAAATATGTGCATTCTAGGATAAAAGACAATTTCTTAGCACAGCGAACTAAGCAGTATCGGGACCCCATATCTCTCTTAAGTGCTTCATCGCATTATATGTCTAACTAGAAAATTTCTCTTCGACAGTCCGAGTAGGATGTTTGACTGAAAAGGAGCACTGGACAGGAGTCTTCTCCTTCTTGGAACTCACTAGGAACCCGCACCACATTGGCGCAGATTCGAATAGAGAGGCATCACAGTGGAAGTGGAAACCAAAGTGGTCCGTTAATTTACATGTGAAACGCACGGGATTAGATCACAATCAATTACTATAAATCGGTTTACTTTTCAAGTTTCATAAGAATATGTGGAGACCAGTCGTCCATAATGGTGGACAAAATGCATGCGAAGAAGTATTCATAATGAGATCGCATTTTTGAATACTTGGTTCTAATGTCTAAAGGTGATTTTGTCAACAACGTCGAAATCGATTGAATAATTAATTGCAAACGGATAAAAGTGTGTTCCATGTGATCACGAAGGTCTTCCTTATTCCAGATACGGCTAAGAAAACAGCCAAAAGGATCCTAATAATTATAATGGAGAGGAAGCTCTGTTAAATGATAGGAAAATGAAACCACCGATACTTTTTTCAAATGTTATGCAGATTACTTTTATACTTTGCATTTTGTAGATTACATACGGAATTGTTGTGGAATAAATGAACGCAGAACGGGATGCATTTATGGTTTGAGCTATTAATGCGTTCAGTCCTATTAGATAGTCAGGGGATTGCACGAACAGTATCACAAGTTCAATCCTCCTAACTCTGAGGCACATCTCCAGTGAAGAAACAAACAAACAAAGTTGTTACAGGGGTCTCTAGAAACTTCGTACATTGCAATAGCTGAACAGGAACATAACTGCATTCATTCCAGTATTTCTCATATCCATTGCGACTTTTAAAAATCTGATAAACGACTTTAAAATTTCAAAATAATGAACTTATGACTGATAGTCTAACAATATGATTTTTGAGCCCGTGTATACAAACCTTTGAGCGTTGAGGCACAATTGCTTTTATCTTCCAGATGAATCAATAAAAGTGATCCAAATGACAACGATCGTCCTGTATATCAAGTGAATTGCTTTGTAGGTATGTACTAATCATACTGACAACCGTCGCCGAGGCAGCGAGAGGAATACCCCACAGTGTTCTACTAGTGATCCACAATGTTTGTTGGATAAGACAAATTGATACATGATGATCTGAATAAGGCGTGTCAACAAAAAGTTCAGAGATAAATTGTCAACAACAGTGCTAGACAATTGCGCCATTACATCGCACTTTGTCACACGAAACGATTACTCACTGTCAAGTGAACGAAAATGCATTCTGAGCTGAGTATCTTACAACCGAATTGATCGATAGGTGTATGTGTGTTATGTAGGACTGAGTATAGTTTCTTGGTTGATTGAAGAAAGTAAAATGCAAAATTCAGACAATCATAATGAACTGTTGCTGGATAATGATAACTTAAACTGACACGGCTCTTCCTGGATAAATAATAGTAGAAGTGAAATAGTTGGCGCAGTTTGTTATTTTCAGACAGCTTTGAAACAGAACACCAGCAAATGACATCCAGTTGTCTCTCTGCATTGAAAATCAAATCTTGGTAAACAACAACAGATGAATGATGAATGATTTAGAAAAATCCAAGCTCTGTTTGAGAGCATTCAGGATCTCATTTCCGGCTCGTAGTGTGGCAGTTGTTTTTACATGTCCGAGAAAAGCCTACCTCCATGACCTGTTTTATAGAGTTTTGCAAACTGAGGGAAGGGAAACGACTGGGTTTTCATAGACTACTGTTCACTGTGCGAGTATCTAGTATTGATATTAGTGGAGCATAGTAGCACTCGGCCGCATTGTGGATCAGCAATGCGAGGAACATACGGTTTCCTTTGTTTTGTGAAGCCCAAAGTTATAGGTGAAGGTTGAGCAGGAATTTGACCCGCCGGGGGCTGCTAGCGGACAGACACGTTTTTTCGCAATGAGTGTAGGAGACTCTTGGTTTCGTTCAAAAGAAAACATGACAAAGTAAAAAGCGTTACTCTAATATTTGAGGCGGATCAGTATTATTGGTTCACAAAATGTTATTCCAAAATGCCCGTAATATGTCATTTTCCATCTCCTCCATGCAGTTAGATTTCCTGAGTGACTACTTTAGAATTCGGGAGGAAAGCTGCTTGGTGACGCGTACTGTGGATTGAAGTTTCAGTTAAATATCTCCATATTGATAACCCATTGAAAGAAGGCTCGTTAATTTGAAGGTCTCGTGAGCTCAAAGAAGAATCGCTATTTAACTGGTTTAGGCTTTGGTGGAGAAATAAATTTCTCACGGATTTTCATGAAGGAGATAGACTGCAACTATTTGGCTACAGTATGGAGCTATCCAGGAGGGGTGGTTTTAGGAGGGGTGCCAATGTGATAATCTCAGAGTTGTCAGTGTTATGTTGGGTCTACCGAGGGAACTCCGTGTTAAAGAAAAATGTTATTACTAATGTGAGATGAAAGTTTTATGCGATGACCAAACAATCAGTAGTTTTCTATTTCAACATTACCGGACTCCTCACCGGATTTTACGCTTTGTTTCCTCACCGGCGCTTGAATCTGCGACCTTCAGAAAGGGGGTCGAATTCTTAACTCCGTGAAGGGATACATCAGAGTGCTCCACGTAATGTTTAATCTTCATCAACATTCAGTTCAGTTCAACCTTTATAAGCATACACTTTGCACCGGTTCTTGGTTGCTTTCGCTTGGTTTAAAAAAAGATAGGAAGTTTGGAAGGTTCAAGCCACTGTCCATGTCAGGGTGAAAAGAATAGAATTCATTAAGATCAATAATGCAAGAATAGTACGNCAAAAGCTCCGCTATGTACGACCTTCGATGTCTCTAACCATCGGTTACGCTGATCCCGAGGTCCGCATCCAAACAGTTTTACGCCAACTTTGTGACCAAGTTTCCTGATTGGCGTTGACATAGTCTCATGCCAGGCTTTGGTTTGTCCCTCAAAGTACCAATCATGCATCGTAGTAATTATGATGACAAATAACAATGGAAAAAACGCAGTGGAAATATTTCTGTTTTGTCCGACAAAGTGCACTGTACTTGCTTGGGAATAGTCGGCAGCGCGTACTTTTCACGTCTCTGTCAAGGCTCGAAACACGAACCTTCGCATTGGGACTTCAAGCCCTTACCCCAGAGCTAAACGGTCCACAGTCACCATCTTGTGCGAATGGCTCAATCCAAACAGGATACTCCGAACAGCACCTGCTCTCAGCCAAAAGTATATCATGAAAACCCATGATGATCGCTACTGTTAGGGATGGTAACAACAAACTTCTCTTCATTTCAAGACCAAAAAGGTAAAGTGTTGCCTAAGGCTATTTCCTTTCCTTCAAATCTGGTAGGAAACAAAGTATTATTGACACCAATAACCTATGAGAATCGATAATCAATTATTAAATATCGAGTAAATAGTGTGACAAACAATGGCAATCAAAAAATCCAGGCCTTCAGAGCAGTTATAATTAGTTTGTCACAAGTAAATATTCAAAGCGTTTTTTGGTTTATCACATTCTCTTGTTCCATTCAGTCATGTGTATTTTCCTCTGGCTACAGCTGCCTTTGTTGAATCATGTGACAGGAAGCGATGTGTACGCAAACATGTTAACTCAGTTTAGTTGGAAGGCTTTCTACGTCTTGGAAAATTCTTATTGGTTCAAATGGTTCCATACTATTTGTCCAATCAGCCTTTGGCATCTCACAATGGTTCAACTATTAGAATAGAGCATCGGTGTTTGACCATTTTGCTTTGCATTACGATGCGTGTTCTCGAGCTGTTGATTGTACTGTGCTTTACAACACTTCTACCAGCTCAATCCCAGGAATGTGTTGAGAAAATAACGGTTTCCGATACCCCGGTGGATATAACACGCTCACTTGCATCGAAGGAAGGAAGTCCGAAAACATGCATCATTCAGTTCACAACAGACAGCGGATTCAGACTAAAGCTGAATATTACTGATGTTACGGTACGTCACATAAGATGGAAAGAAAGTTTGCAGATCTCGCTTGTATTTTATAATACGAAATTCAATCTCTTCGGTTAGTCAATGGTTATCCCATAAAAGAGAAAATTTACACCTATGTGTAATTAACTCAGCCAGTGTATTAATTAGGTTGTTGTAAAATATCTTAGCTCAGCAACGTGAGCCATTAATTTTTCGATTTGTCTTTTTCAGAAATTGCCCTCAACGGATTCACAATGCACATTTAATTACGTCAAGTTTGCGGATGATGAAGCTGGTCTCGCTAATGCTAAGGCCTATTGTGATAAAGATAAGGTCCCAGGATTCGATTCCAAGGGAAATCAAATGGTACTTCAATATCAAATGACATACATTGACAAAGAAGTTAGTTTCAGTGGAAATGTAAAACGAGGTGAGAAGAAGAAACCTGCTGTCGGCATACAATTTATAATCTTCTTGTGTATGACTGCCTCAACGTTGTCCTATCGTTACGGAACATTTGCTTACCGTTTGTGCTTGACCAACTTCCGTTTTCCCGCTCACAGTTGACGCACAAGCCTCGTGTGGTACGTCTCCCGAATCATTTGATGGTTCCGAACAAGTGTTTCAATTCCCGTTGGATCAAAAGCCAATGGAACTCGATGTCGAGTGCACGTATAAAATTGTAAACAACAAAGGGGGAAAAATCAGCGCAAAGATTGAACATATGAAGGTAATGGGGATAAAAGAGATACATACAAAATTGTGCTGTGTCACGTGCAAAGCGATATTGTTTTACTAACTTGCATCTTCAATCGTTGAACAATTTAGCTTGCTGGGACTACCCCTTGTTCATCGGATTATGTGGCTTTGAGTAGTACCGCGAATCCAAGTTCGACAAGTGAATACGTTAAATGTGGATCAACTGTACCCACTGACAACTTTACGACCACAGGATCGGAGTTGTACTGGAAAGTCAAAGTGACCGAATATGCGAATCAACCGTATTTGAGTATGATTATTAAATCAAGTTAGTGTGCATGCAAACCATTAGAATTACAATATTCCTCATTCCAATAGAAGCCGGATTCCGAAATTCGAATGTGCTCATCACGTTTGCTGCAATGAATATTCTGTGTACATTCCTCTGTCAATGATTCACTAAAGGTAGGTTTATTTGTATTGTGCCCCTATTTATGAGCGACAATCTTTCGAGAACGAAATGCATTAAGTAAACTTTACGGTAACACTACCTACTAAGTGGGAAAATAGTTTGTTCATTCGGCAGCATACTTTTATTCGGAGTGTAGCTGCACATTTCTGATTCCAGAAAATAAAGTCAATTCCTTGGTTCACTTATTCCTCTGTTCATACTAACTAGTACTGAAAAAAATTCAGTAGATCTTCCGTATTAGCATTTTCCTTCTTGCTTGAAGTGACTTCAATCTTAAAATTCCAATTATACCCCAACGTTTTATTTCAAGGTAACTGAGTGCACGAGAAGTGGCTGTCTTCATTTTTATACCGAACTTCTAATTAAAACAATCATTGTCTCCATTTTTCTCATGCCATTTACGGAAAACAATAATTCACAAATTCAGGGAAATGCAACAGTTTCGTCATAGTAATTACCGTTTCCGGTTTATCTCAAAGAACATTCGTTTATCTTTTTTTATTTCAGGTATCTAAAGGCCATAAAGGTAACAATTATCGGTGCTGTGCAGCTACATCACACTTGGTTCAGTATTCTGTAGAACTTCAATGTAAACTTAAAGCTTTTCTCTTTGAGAACCATTAATTTTAAAAAGCATACATGGTATAATTAATGAAACGTTCACGCAATTCAAAAATATTTACTTGAAAATTATTGGTTGTTTTATTGCACTTAGATACGGAACTATTTAAACGTCGATTCACAATTTTACTCCCGTTCTGGATTTTCGGATATTTGTAATCGAGAAAAAAAGTCCGATTGATTACATCATTTCCTAATTGCAACAACCGAATGCGCAGGTTTGAACAATCTATCCGGATCATTATGTTCTGCATCCGTACACTTGTACCATGCTGTTTAAGTGATTACTAATATATGGTCAATAAATATGCAATTTTAGCCTGAGAAAATTCGTGATAAACAACACTCAATAAACACAATTGACATCAAGATAATGACAGAATGATTAGTAATTCACGCGGTTTGCACAGTTGAAGATGGCATTTTTGAGTGGCTAGTGCCTCTGCATACAACAAAAGCCTAGAGTTGTTTGAATTGCAGAGGATTCTGAATGTGTCTTTAAGCGTTATAAAGGAATAATTTCGACTGAGTTTTGTGATGAATAAACTGCATTCCCGAAAAGTCATTAATGATAAGACACTCTAATTCTACGTACAAATAGATAGAAGTAGGAACTTTAATAAAGTCGGATCGAGAATACTTTCATTTTGTACCAAATCCCCTTTGAGTCACGGAAAACTATGAATTATTTTTTATGTTGCTAGAAAATCCTTTGCAAATTTAACATTTGTACGCATCTACAGTCTGACGGCCTCCACAGCCGCCCGTCTTCCCCGTTTCTGTATTTTCTCAGCAGTCTTCATATAGCCACGGCCCCTCTTCCCAAATGTTGACTGTAGATTTGTATATTTAATAATTAAAGGAGAAAATAAAAAGGTATTTATTATTATGTATAAGTGAGTACGTTTTGAATGAGCTGAAATCTATCAACAGCAATTAATCACTCAGTTCAGATGGGTTTTCTCAGTGGTTGTAAAACATGTGCAAACCACCTAGCGTCAATGGCTTCATTCATATTCAATAAATTCAAATTCAAATTCAAATTTTTATTATGGGATATAACTTACAAAGACTTCACTTTTTCAAATCCCATAGGGTGTTTACACTTTGGTTCGGAACACGATTCACAATGTCACACACAGTACATTCATGAAATTACAGTAGTAAGGTAATGTTTTTGACGTGCACAGGAGAATATATTATGTAGTTGGGTGTTGAAAAGCAATGATTGCCAGTGCATCATCAAGCTGACGCTTGAAAGATACTAATGTCGAGGCACAGACCACGTGAGGGGTAGAGAGTTCCATGTGCTGCACACTCTGACTGCAAACGAGTGACGTCTGCAGTCAAGACGGCTCTGTTGGAGTGCCAACTTCAGCGGGTGCCCTCTGAGATGGACGTTGTGTGATAAAACGAACAGAGATTTACATG